AAACTAAAAAACCCACAAACCCAACACAGAGTGGACTGCAGCTGGAGTCCGTGCTTCAAAAACCACCACGCAGAGGTATGCAAGACAGGTTTCAGCTGTTGCATTCCTTGTGTCAAGCTACTTTTAAACAAGAGACAGCGTCAGACGGGTCCTACCAGAGGCGTGACATTGTGGCATCAACAAGTTATCTCCATGTCATGTTTTTGTTCTGCTCAGCTATTAAACCAGGTGATTTCAATCAGCACAGTGAATTAACCTGGTTCAGGTGCTGAGCAGAACAAAAACATGACGCAGAGATGAGTTGTTGATGCCACAGTGTCACACCTCTGGGTCCTACTTGGGCTAAAGACAGAAACGGCCAGCAAACTGGCCTGACTTTAACCCCATCTATGGGGTATTGTGAGGAGGAAGATGCAATGCATCTGACCCAACAATTCAGAAGAGCTGAAGGCCACTATCCGAGCAACATGGGCTCTATCAGAGCAACATGGGCTCTCATAACACCTAAACCTGAGCAGTGCCACAGACTGATGGACTCCATGCCACGCCGTATCACTGCACTAATCCAGGCCAACGGAGTACTGAGTACTGTATGTTCATACTTTTCAGTTTGCCCACATTTCTAAAACTCCTGTTTTTGCATTGGTCTTAATTGATATTCCAATTTTCCAATACAGAATTTGGGATTTTCAATAGTTGTCCATTCTAATAATTAGCATTGAAATAAATAAACATTTAAAATCTCTGTGTTTAATGGAAGATTTTAGTACACAAGTTTCACTTTTTGAATGGAATTACTGGAATTAATCAACTTTGTCCTGATATTCTAATTTTATGACATCACCTGCACATAACTGATGTGTGTGTGTGTGTGTGTGTGTGTGTGTGTGTGTGTTTCAGCTTGTGTAGTTTGACCCAAATGAGCATCTAGCAACATTTCTTTTCATTTCTTTACATTTAACAAATAAAAAGTGGGTGTTAGAGCTCAGACTGTTACAAACGTCCCATAATAGATAGTATTATAATGGTAGAAGAAATGATGCATAGTGAAATTTGACTGGCATCCAGGCGATCCATTGGCACCATGTAACATTTGTATGGATTGTTAGTTTGACATATTTTCTGTAACAAAAACAAACCACCATGTTTTAACCCTTTGATGCATAATGGTCACTACAGTGGACAGGTACTCAATTTTTTATTTATTTTTTTGCTATTAAGCACACCTGTTGAAGACTTTATTGCATTTGAGCCCCTCCATTTGGACTTCAGTAATTAAATCCAATTTCATGTTCAGAATGCACGCTGTCCACTGAGGTGGACATGTAATAAATTATTTGTAAATTAAATGTTACAAAAAATATATAAATATGAAATTAGTTTCATGCACACCTAAAGATGAATGAAAAAAAATTGTTTAAAAAAATCATGGTTGAAGATTTCATAATCCATGCATCAAAGGGTTCAAAGCCAGAGCCTTTACTGCCACCTGTTGCCTGTTATAAACTCTCTGCAGGGTACATTTAATGCAGATGAAATACATCACCCAGCCCTCCCAAAAAAGTCTCCACCTGGATTTAAATAAACACACATGAAGGAGGCTCCCATTGGATAATTAATGCATGGGTGATTATCTTTCAACTGCAATAAGTTATTTAACCCAACCAGTGCAATGAGATGCTTCTCATTTCCATGTGGAAATGTGGAAAGACACGTCTGGTGGTCGTGGGAAAAAGGGTCAGATCATTGACATCAAGCAGAGAAAACATCTAATTAGATGCAGAAACAACTAAAACTGGGTTCAGAACAGTCCAACGCATTATTAAAACTGGTCTGATGAGTCCAGATGGACCCTATTCCCGAGTGATGGTGCATCAGGGTAAGAAGAGAGACGTATGAAGTACAAGTACTAGCCTGTGGGGGCAGTGCTATGATCTGGGCTTGCTGCAGTTGGTCAGGTCTAGGTTCAGCAACATGTGCTCCAAGAATGAGGTCAGCTGACAACCTGAATATCCTGAATGACCAGGTCACCACATCTTCCCTGATGGCACGGCCATACTCCAAAACGACAATGCCAGGATTCATCAGGCTCAAATAGTGAAAGAGATGAAAGCATGAGACATCATTTTCTCACATGGGTTGGTCACTACAGAGCCCAGACCTTAACCCCATTGAGAATCTCTGCGATTTGCTGGAGAAGGGTTTGTGCAGTGGTCAGACTCTACCATCATCAGTGCAAGATCTTGGTGAAATATTAATGCAACACTGGATGGAGATAAATCTGGTGATGCTGCAGAAGCTCATCTAAACAACGCCACAGCAAATGTGTGCTGTAATCAAAACTAGAGGTGCAGAGCCAGCTATCTCTCTGATTGAGGTTGCCATGACACCCACAGGGATCAATCATCTCCTTAAAGCTTCTGGAAAATGGTGACAGCCTCATAAAGCGGACTGTTCAGCCACGGAGGCAGTTTGACTAGATTATAAAAACTGTAATGAGGCAAAACTCACACGGTGAAATATTCATGTTCAGTGGCTTCTTCTGTGGTTTCATCACTAGCTTTAGTTCCACTTATAGACGAAGGCTTTGTTGGCCCAGTTGCAGCCAAAGAAGAGTCGGAATGAGATGGAGAGTTAAGAGTCCAGAGAATTCCCTTCAAGTGTGAAGAGACAGCCTCGTGAAGAATATCAATGCCTTCCCCTGCTCTTGTTTCTGACTGCATCCTATTCCCCATCACCCCTCTGCAACAATCGCCTGTCATCTCTCTCTCTCTCTCTCTCTCTCTCTCTCTCTCTCTCTCTCTCTCTCTCTCTCTCTCTTTATTGTCCACCCTCCCTCAACAGTTTTTTTCCATCTACCCGTCCTCAGATGTCACCTGTCATCCTCCTCATCCTCATCTCCTCGCCCCTCGGTCGTGCTTCCCCTCCCATTGAAGTTCACACCCCACAGGTTTCCTCTTGCCCATACGTTCTCTCGCCCTCCCTCGGGGGTTTCGCCATGGTGACAGGTAGGATGGATGATCGACAAGGCCTGACGCTCTCAGGTCTTTCCCTTCTCTTTAGTGCATCACACACGTCCAGCTGACTGACCATCATACTCAGAGCTACAGAAACTCCCACATCCTCTACAGAAGTTCATCATCTCTTGATGTGTCCCTCAGAAGAATCCAGATGTAGGGCAGGCGTGGCCCAGGTGGGGGGCCTTGAGTGTTGCCCCCGCAGCACACTAAGTAAACGCCTCATTATTTAGCTGTCTCTTACAGCTAGCTTTGATTAGCACAAGGCTGAATTAATCATGATCCTTCAGGTTGCCTTAGTTAGCCCTGCTCTTTGTGACCGCATCATTTATGCAAAACAGGCCAGAGACATGAGATTCAACCATTTTTACAGTTGTTTAAACCTGTGGGAAAGAAGAAAATCTACCTGGCGCCAGACCTGAGGGATACATCATCCAATGGTTTATTGATTTTCTGCATGACAAGTTTTTGGCAAACAGCTTTTGGGAATCACTTAGTGAAAAAATCCACTTTTCTGTCCGTCAAACTGCGTTATCTGCAGGAATTTGCTTGGTTGCAAAGAAATGGGAACCAAATCAATATCAACTAAGTAAAATCAATAGTGTCAGTTTAGTTTTATCTGAATCATTCAGTCATGGCTTGACTTTGACTTATGGTAAAAGCACCACTATTACCTTCTGTAATCTGGTATTTGCTGTGTCCTATTGTGTCCTTACGTATACAAGAGGCCACGACTCTAGCCTAGCAGTGATGCTAACTAGAAGAACAGAAAGTTTATGTCTGATATGAGTCTAACAGACACGTGTGTTCCACCTGTCCTCTGTGGAGGTGTCTGACTTACAGTGGGAGCGGGAGTTATGCTCTAAAAATAACCTGCAAACTCTGAAATCCGCCAAGTCGCCGGCTTTATTTAGAGATGTTTTAGGGCTGACTACACACGTTATACACTTTTCTCAGACAGGCTTTTTTAACATGTTCACACTTTTCTCTCTTGTTTAAACACTCTCGATGCCCTGTAACAAAAACGTGCACAATTCTGCTAAAGGTAAGAATTGATTTCTGGTGTATTTACTGGTTTTCCCTTAAATAGTTTACCTAAGTGAGCTGCCTGAATGTGTTTCCTCACAAAAGTTGCGCCAGAACACCGAACAGTGTTATGTTACGGCGGTAGCAGCAGCACCAACACAGGAAAACAACCAGCTGTGCCTCTCTGTGAAAGGGCATGTGGTTCGGGGCCCGCATCCCTCTCCTCTCCGGCCCCTGTGCTGCCACCACAGGAGAACCCTGCACGCGTATCACCAACCAAAGACTTACCGGCATGGCTGGTTGGCACTAGCTTCTTCAAACAGAGTCTGCATCGGGACTCTGATTGGTTCTTTTCTCGTCTAGTCCTGCCTGTCCGATCTGCTGATTGGTTCTCTCTTCGGTTCATACATCTTTTCCTTTTTCTGATTGGATTTTCATCAATGTCCATTATCGTTGTCACCATTTATTTATTGAAGGGAAAAAAAATCTGTGCAACATCGAGGTCATGAAGGGTGAAACGCATTCATAGTGAGGGACTGCTGTCCTATAACAGCTGATGTTATAGTAAACATGTCATGTTGGTGGAGATTTGTTCTGTTTGCACACATAATTGCTGATTCAGGGTCGGTTCTGTATTCTAGATGATATTATTTTGAACACGTTTGTTGTGAAACCAAAAACAGAAAACTCTAAATGTGGCTCTGACATCTCACGTCATCTGATCTCGGTCTGTTTCTGAATGAGTCGCTATTGGCCAACTGCGGCAGGCACGGAGCTAAAGGTCAACCTCAGGCAGGATTTAAACTGCAGCGTGTGTTTACTCACCTTGCTCTGTTTCTCTGTGCATCATTAATTTTACTATCTCTATGTCGCATGATTGGGATTATCTTTGTTTAATAAGCACTTCTCCTGCATGCTGCCCCTCCTAACTTTATTTTTCCCTTGCTCTCCCTGCAGCGGATGATGGATGTGGAGGGACACTGCGGGGCCAGAGTGGGGTGATCACCACCCCCAATTACCCAGCTGAGTACAACAATAATGCTGACTGCACCTGGACTGTGCTGGCTGAGCCAGGAGACACCATTGCCCTGGTTTTCTCTGACTTTCAGCTGGAGGACGACTATGACCTGCTGGAGGTCAGCGGCACTGACGGCTCCTCGCAGTGGTGAGTAGTCAGCCGGCTGCACTCTGTCCTGAGAGAGCTGAGTGGTGAAAAAGGAGGAATGCACCAGCAATGCACCACTCACACAGACGTTGTACCTGAGAGGGGTATTAGCTGGGTTAAAGCTTCTGAAGAGGTTTTGTGGAGCAGGATCAGAGCAGGAATGTCTTCAGAGGCACTTTGGTGTATGAGCATCATTGACAGGCTGGTCCGAGCCTTCGTGCTGCTAACTCTGCTACAGGGAGTCGTGTCTTTGTTGGTTCCAACATGTAATTTGAGCTCTCACTTTGAGTGGCACACTTCCCCTCTCGTTCTGGCTGCGCCGGCCTCACACAAACACACACGCTGATGATCAAGAGGCAGGATATTCTGTCGTCACCATCTGTGGCAGCTCCTCCTCTCTCTGACAACTCTCTCTGCACAGGAAGTAATTAGTGAGCTCCACACACACACACACACACTTACACCTTCAGGTGGACACAGCCCCATGTCTGTGGTGGTGTGTGCACACAGGCGTGTCTTTAACAGGCTGTCCTGCAGCTGCAACACAAGGCAGTACAACACTGATGCGTGGTTGTTTTCAGGTCATTTTTATTATCATGCTACGTTTTACATCCAAGTTGAAGACAGATTCTCTTTTAATTTAACATTTCTGAAAAAAATCTGAAAACCTGTTTGGGCACGGCTGCGCAGATAAAGATGGTGCATCCATGGTAGTCTAGAACAAAACATCAGTTGTTTCTAGTTAATCCTGTTTGTTACCACAGCATGGTAGTCGGCCCTCAGCTAGATGAAAGGCCGGCTTGTTCCTGAGCGCGGCTCTGGGGGAAGTTACAGAAACACGCTGCTGTGAGGCAGCCTGACCTTCTGACGGCTGTGGGGGAGCTGCAAGTGTTCACCTGATGCAAGAAAAGCCATGAAAAGAGCTGCTGCAGTTTAGAAAGGGCCTTTACTCATCTGTGTTTGTGTCAGTGTGCTAACTATCTAATGCTGTGGGAGTCCTGGACTGTTGTCAAACACCCGTCTGTTGGTCGTGTGTCACTGCTCATATACTGACCTTCATGTTGGTGGAGATATGAACAGCTTCTGATGCTTTTATCAATACTAATGAGGATTTATGATAAAAAAGAGAGCCGTAAACCCCGTGGTCAGCAAAGCAAAAGTCTGTGGAATAAAAAATCCATCCAATCAAAGATATTTAAAGCAGAATAAACAGTAAAAAGCAATATGTTACAATAGTAATAATAAATATTATTAGACAAAACTCCATAGCTCCATAGATCAGGGGTGTCAAATGTGTGGCCCGCGGGCCGGATCAGGCCCACACACAGTTTAAATCTGGCCCGCGAGATGATTGTGTAAACCTTATTTTCAGACTTAACAATGTAAAGTCTGAAAATAAGCTTTCATTTTTCAGTTCAACTGCTGGTGAAAGCTAAGAGATGTCAGGTATCAGGAGTCAAGGACATGCATGAAACTAATATTTCAATTACTGATTAATAGTCTGAGCTTTTTGTTTTGTATTTCACGTTTTCAAATACACTTCAGGTGTTTTATTATTAACAGTGAAGTTGTGCTTAAACTATTTTGGATACACTGTCCTCAGGCTCCAGCTTTGTTTTATGTTGACCGTATTAAAACAAAGAAAACAATCTGAAGCAGTTTTTAATTTATACATACTTTAATTTTACGGGCCTGGCCCACTTGGGACTAGATTTTCCTCTTTGTGGCCCCTGAGCAATACTGAGTTTGACACCCCTGCCATAGATGATCCATGGGAGCTCAGAACCCACCTACTCACTTCAGAAGAAGATCTCTAACCAGGTCAGACCATCATGAAACATCTACGGCACAGCTGTCAGAGCTAGTCAGAGGTGCACTGGCAACATGCAGATGTTTGAATAAACTCCTCCTGTTTGTAGAGAGACGCTTTTTAAAAGGAAGAAACAAAGTGAGAGCCAGTGTTTAGTTCCAGAAGCTAAATGTCAGGACAAACACTAATGATGGAGGGATCCATAACTGTGGTGAGGAGTTAAAACTGATTTTATTATCGGGTTAGGGTCAGAGTTTTTTCTGGATTCAGCTCACAGTGCTTAGTGATGTTTCTTAAGACACTGTGAAGGAAAGCTGCTGCCATGATGCTGTCTGTTACCAAAGGTAGAAGAAACTGTCTGCGTGTTTGACTTCAAGTGACAGTGTGTATTTTCCCTACCAATAGGGGGCAGTACATACTTAAATCATTGCAAGCAAGCATTATTTTTGTGTTCAAGTAAGGCCTTACCAACAGATGCCCATCAGGGTAAAAAATCCTTGGGATTGCCACCTCCAGCAAAATAACAAGAACATCTGATTCCCTTTCATCACTGGCAACGAGTGAAGACGTAAATGTGTAAAACAACGTTTATTAATGCCGAAAGTTTTCTAATTGTTTTTTACAAATCAGTAAATGAATTATGTCCTCACAGGGCTTCCATTGAAGGAAACAGGGCATCCGGTCTTGGATGTTTCTCAATGCCAGGGAACCTTGCCTTGATGTCTTGGCCCCGCCCCGGTTGCCTAGGAGATACGTCATCAGGAACCGCCAAGACATGTTTCAATATTCATGTTCTACCGAGGCGTGTGTTCTCTGTTTGTTAGCCATTTAGCTAGCTGAGCAAGGATACACGGGAGGTGTCTTGTAGCCTAGCCTTGGTCAAAAATTACCCAGAATACGCCGCAGTATTTTCAAAAGGATGGTGGATCAGAAGCCGGCAGCTACTTCAGGGGAAATTTCGAGTTTAAAAGTAAATCAGCTAATTAAAAATGTATTTTTAGATCCAAAGCAGTTAGCTATGGTTGGTTAGTTGCTTAGTTGCAGCTTCGGTGGCTAGCGGGTAATAAATTACTCATAAATTTATTTCAACAAATATATACACAAATGAAAAAGTAAAAAGCTTGTTATATATTTATATTGAATTTATTACATGTAAATATAACGTTATCTCCCGTGTCACGTGACGTTACGGGACCACCGTGGAAGCCGCGGTCATGTGATGCAAGTCTGTTCCATTTAACCGTTTTCTCTGACCAAGGAAGGAGTGTCCTCGTAAGACATCGCCTCGCAAGGCCAGGCGCCTTGACATTGAGAAACAGTCCTTAGACGCCCTCCATGTGTTTTAGAACAGATTTTTATGTTTATATGTGTTGAAACCACCAATATTTTTCAACAACTGCACATATTTTAATTAATTTACAACATTCCAATGGACATTTCCAGAGATTAATGATAAAAACTACACACTGTCACTTTAAAAGCAGGCTTTTCTGGGATAGTTCACAAAGATGGAGCAGTGTACAGCTTCCACAGCACAGGATCCCAGCCTTTTAACAGTTATTAGAACTCCAACGTCAAAGCTCTCGCGTGTAAAGGCTAAGCTATCGTCCGGTTTTAGTCCAAAAAGAAAAACGGAGAATCAGTAGTGATGTGCAGGGTCAGAAAGTGGAAATGATGAGGTCGAATGGTCAGGATGAAAACACGCTAGTGAGGCCTCGTCAGGAGGAGGGCAGGACCCATGGAAGACAAGGTGGACGTTAAACGGGAAAGAACGGAGAAAATATTACAAGTTCCCAGCTGCTGGCCAATTAGAGAGGTGATGGTGCTGACCCAAAGCCGGCATCCTATCATCGAAGGCTTCAGTCAAGTCTCGATTGCTGCGCTCTTGAAACGGGGTTGGCCTTTGATTTAATCACCTGGGTTTCCACAGGGAGACAACAGTTCAGCCTGAAAAGCTGCTGCTTTCATCTGCTTTAAATGGAAATTTGCTTTATGACATCAAAGCCTTTTTATTGCCCTTTTGTTGATGGAAGGATCATTGTTTTCTGTTTAAATGATGCAACTGCTTTTCCTTTAACAGTGACTCCTCCTTGTGGCTTTGCTGCTTTTACTGTTGTGACGTCGTTGCATTTACGATGACAGTTCTGATTCAGATGACCGGGTTGGGTTAAAACCGGGTTTATGGATTAGTGTAAATGTAAACAGCTGGTGGTGGAAGTAACACGACCCCCACTGCAGGCAGAATCATTTCTACCTCAGAGAGAAGATGTGGGACCAGGAATCAGAGTTTAAACGATGCTCGAGCTTATCAATACCACCCAACTCACCTGGAATCAGGTCATGAGGCATGTTTTCTCTACCAGAACATCAGGATACATTTACAGGAAGCTACCGGTATGAGTGTGTGTCCACTCCACCGGGCCGGCAGATCACTCAGTCATTTTCAGGAACCAACAAAGCCCCTGAAAAGCTTTAGGTACCCAGAAAGTCCCGGTAGAGTCGCCAAACGGAACCTTTGGTTAACGAAAGCTGATTGGTTGAAACGCAACAGGAAATGACATCAGCAGACGTCATCCATAACAACACTGCCAACTAATGCCAAAACAATGGCATTAGTACAGTCACTAGTTGTTTGTGAAGCAGAAGCGATGCTCAAGCAAAAAATGATGGTGTGTGTGTGTGTGTGTGTGTGTGTGTGTGTGTGTGTGTGTGTGTGTGTGTGTGTGTGTGTGTCTGTGTGTGTGTGTGTGTGTGTGTGTGTGCGCACGTGTGTGTGTGTTTGTGTGTGTGTGTTTGTGCATGTGTATGTGTGTGTGTGTGTGTGTGCGCGCGCATGTGTGTGTGTGTGTGTGTGTGTGTGTGTTATTGGCTAGAGAGTTTAGTCTGTATTCCATGTTTCTCTGAATGAGCGTCTCTGTGTTGCTCGCCCTTTCTCTCTCTCTACCATTACACATTGATTTTCTTGCCCATCACAACCCAGTTTGAGGCCGTGTAAATAACGCTGATCATCATCAATTTCCAGATCCTCCTTCGCCCACTTCCTGTTTAGTGGAACTCAGCTGTTTGACTTCTTTTCCAAGGCTGGATAATACATTCATTCTCCAGCAGTGGTCTCCTGAGACGTCGAGCAGCAACTCCCCAAGCACTTTTCACACTGTACACACACACACACACACACACACACACACAC